CTTTAGCTGCCCAAGGTAGCTCACCACCACCACCACCATCACCACCACCACCACCATCATCATTATCATCATCACCATCATCACCATCATCATCATCATCACCACCACCACCACCACCATCACCATCACTACCACTACCACCACCACAATGCTTTATTTATTATATGGTTACTGGTTAAGTGCTTAGAGACAGAATATGGGAATTGCCACATGGATTGTTCTCAATCCAGCTGCTTCACCTAGGGCAAGTGACCTTACTTCTCCACTGCTTCAGTTTCTCATCTGTATGATGGAAACACTAAGAGTGGTATGAGGACTGAACAACAGAATGTCTGTGGGATTCTTGACATGGTATCTGACACATAGAGCATTAATTTGTCCTCATGAGAATTAGGAAGTTAATCATGTCAGTTGAGTTGAAATTACTCCTAACAAACTCACAGATGGATCCTGATCAGATAAAGTTAACATGGTTAATTTCTTTCCTATAGTAGCATGTATTTGAAAATGAATATTCATTGGCATTGCTGCTTAACCAATCTTCATGTTCAGTATTCAGCAGGAACTGGAGCATAGATACATTGAGGAACATAAAATCACAGAGCCCGGCTTTCACTGTGGCCAGGTCTTTCAAGTGGGACTCGTAGATATCATAGACTCATAGACCCAGCTTCAATTAAGTTGTTGAAAAGGCACATTAACTTAATTTCCTCCTAGAAGCCATTATTCAGGCATTGTTAAGTGACCCTTCCTCGTTTGACTTGATCTGGATAGTTGTATTCTGTCTTGTGAAGATAGAGTTCTTAGGAGACCTGTCTGAAAGCAGGCATGTGATAACTGTTAGTCACAAGCCAAAGCCACGGACAAAGACCTTTCACAGGACATTGCTGTGGCTTCTGAGCCTCAGTTTGATGCTTGTGGACAGCCATGAGACCTGTGAACAAAGGAATGCCTGGAGGTGACTAACGATTTTAAAAAGGTGAAGAGAATGCCCTTTGCTTCCACTAGTATGGAAATTATTTATGAACCAAAACACTGACCACTGGAGAAGCTTGAAAAGTCGTGTGTTGGGCTGGGAAGGTGGCTCTGTGGTAGAGTGCCTTGCATGCATGAGGTCCTGGGTTTGATTCTGCAGCACTACATAAGCAGAAAAAGCTGGAAGTGGTGCTATAGCTCAAGTGGTAGAGCGCTAGCCTTGAGCTGAAGAGTTGAGGGACAGTGCCCAGGCCCAGAGTTCAGGCCCCACGACCAGCAAAAAAAAAGTTGTGTGTCTAGATAGGTAAAAGTTGATTGGAACTTTTGGAACCTGTAGAGGCAAGGTAGATTAGTACTCTACTTAGTAGCTTTGTGGCCTTGAACAAATAATGGGCCTCCATTTCCATATCTGTAAAGGGAAATTTACACTAGTCTAATCTATGTGGCATTCAAAGCAAAATTAGGTGTTGTCATGGGGAGTACTTGATAAGTACTTGGTAAACACAGCCATTCCTACATAGAGCTATTCCTGTGGTGCCACATCTGGCCTCTGCAGTAGTGAGGCTGTCCATCCTCAACCTGGAACTTCCTTGTTGGACCATGTGGTCACTTAGTTATGGAAGCCTGGTTTGTTTGCTTCATCTCAAAACTCATTCTTTTTGGCTCATTTATAGAAAGTAGACATAGATTAATGGCCTGGCCTCAGAGGATTGGGCAGCATATGTTTCTGGTGCTATTGGCTCATTGATCACACCTCTCCAATTCAGAGAATGACTGGATGTTTGAGGCAGAGGTCTCCGAAGACCAAGGAAGCCTTGAAGGAAAGTAATTTGGCATAAGTTCACTTCCTAATTAAGGAGGGTTGGAAGCCCTACAATTTACTATTCCTTCTGCGTTTACCCATTTTTAAATAGGAACATGTTTTTCTTGGATAGAAAGTTTTAGTTCACAGGAAAATGCAGTGATCAAGGATAGCTGAAAAAATAACTTGCCAAAATATGGTCTCTTTCCTCTCTATTACCCAGCATTCCAAAGTTATGCAAGACCAGTTGTCATAGGTCATTGGTCATGGCTGTTAACTAGCTATCCATTTTAGTCACAGGATATAAAGTCTTGCTTTCTTCTGCCTGTCCTCATCATTTACTCTTCTCTGCCTTGCAGAGCTTGCCAACCATGTCCTTCTCCTTCCACATGCCATTCTTTTTTGCATCTCAAGGATCTGCTGGACATTGGTCGCTAGGTCTTCCCAGGGAAATGCCCTTTCATCATTATGGAGTCCTGCAAATACCACTTCTTCAGAGAAGTTTTTCCTCATGTCAGGCCGATTGTAACCATTTCTCTTTTCTCCATTAAACTTAGTTTAAATAAATCATATTTATGAATTTGTTTCTCTTTTCTCCACCAATGGAAACGTTCCTTGAGACTAGTTCATAGCTATCCTGTCTATTTGTATCCTTAGCACCTAAAACATTGCCTGTTTTTTTTATAAGCGTTCAATAACTGTTCATTAAACATACACATAAATAGGTGCCAGTGGCTCACACCGGTAATCCTAGCTACTCAGGAGACTAAGTTCTGAGGATCACTGACTGAAGCCAGCCCAGGCAGAAAAGTCTGAGACTCTACCTCCGGGATAGATAGATCTATCTATCTATCTATCTATCTATCTATCTATCTATCTATCTATCTATCTATCTATCTATCTATCTCTCTCTCTCTCTCTCTCTCTCTCTCTATCTATCTATCTATCTATCTATCTATCTATCTATCTATCTATCTATCTATCTATCTATCTATCTATCTATCTATCTATCTATCTTCTCTTGTTTGCTAGTCACATAAGGAAACTCAAAGAAGAAAGGGAAGGGCTGTTTGGTTGCTTGAAGTCTTAGCCTTTCTCCCACCCCCCTTGACATTCTTGTGCAGGTCCTATGGAGCCCCATTTGCAAAACACAATCAACAGTGTTCCCTCTGTTGCACATAATAATTGGTACTGCTGCTGCCAGCCTCCACTTACATTTTGTGGTGACTTTTGTTTGGCTTATTCACCAAATTCTATAATGGCTAAGTCTTTTTTTCCTCCAGTAATATAGGCCAACCACTGCATTATCTTTGTACTATTTTAATATATTGCTCTTGACCCAATCTTATTTGATTTTCTCAGCAGCCGTAGGAGTGGTAAGCAGGATAACTATTATCACTTCCATTTTGTAGAAACTAAAGGTCAGCCAAATGAAGTGAACAGTGGTGAACTCCAGGCCAGAATCAAAGTCTTTTGACCCCTAACCTTTGAAGTATGTGCATTGATGCCTGTCTTCAGACCACCCTTCTTAAATATTACAACCCATTCTTTTGTCCTCATTTTTTTGACCTTTGGAAAAAGACTATGCAGCTAGAGTTTTCTTTAGAAAATAGAAAATAATAATACAGTGAGGTCATCTGTTGTGTTGGAAGTTTGACCATTCAATGACCTCTTTGTGCAAGTTTTTCAATATAGAGATAAGGCAATAAAGTGTAAGAAATTTAGTGAAGCAGCCAGGGTGAAGGTAAAACATTTTTCAGGTTCTGACCACCCATTCCCATTCATGTTTCATAGCAAGTAAGGACATTTGGGTCTAGTGGTTCTCTTTTCAGGGATAACATGCTTTGTTATATAAGTGATTCTTACCAGGAGTGGCCACTAGAATCACTTAGTATGTATGGATAAAGAGAGAAACTTAGCTTATGGTAACATCTTCACCCTATACCTTTCCATACCTACAGAATCATCCTTCAAAGACGGATTTGACATTATGATTTTCTTCTTTTCTCAAGCAGATATTTCATCTTGTTAATATTTAATGATGACAGAATATTGTAGATAAATCAAAAATGGCCACAGATTAAATCCAGCCTATTACTTGTTTCTGAACACACAGTTTAGACTCCAGTTAAGGTGAATTACTATTCCCCTTCCAAATATATAAAAAAATAATTCAATCAGATTCTTCTTGTTGGTAAATTTAATGTTTCAAAAAGTCTTGATTATTATACTTTTTTAAATGTCAAAATTATTTGTTTTCTCTCATTATATAACTACCTTCATAATGTTTTTTTTGTTGTTGTTTTGTTTTTGGTCCAGTCGTGGGGCTTGAACTCTGGCCCTGGGCGCTGTCCCTCAGCTCTTCAGCTCAAGGCTAGCGCTCTACCACTTGAGCCACAGCACCACTTCCGGCTTTTTTCTTTTTGCTTATGTGGTGCTGAGGAATCAAACCCAGGGCTTCATGCATGCAAGGCAAGCACTCTACCACTGAGCCACCTTCCCAGCCCCTCATAATGTTGTTTTTGCCTGATCTTTCAAGGCCGAAAATATTCACTATCTCATCCTTTTTGTAGCTTGCTGTTTCTACTTTATTGCAAGTCATGTGTTCTTTTACTATATTGGGTTTTTATTCCTTTTGTACTTCTTGCAAATTTAATGTAAATTTTATGTGAGTTTAATGTAAATGTCATGCATCTCCATATAACATTCAAATTTACAAAAGCATATAGAATAAAAATGGCTAGTACCTTTCTTCAGTGTTAACATTTGACAGTTTATGATGTATCTTTTCCCTAACTTAGTCCCTAACTGGATATGGGACCTTAGTTCCCCTCACTATGCCTTATATTCTCCAGCTATACAACCATGATAATAACAGCTTCTACCAAGCAGGATTGCTGTGTAGATTATGTGAGATAATCCACATGAATTGCTTAGCACATTGCTTTGTACACACTTAACGCTTAGTGATTTGTAACTAATTTGAAATTCCTTCCTTTTTATTTATACATAGCATTTAGTGCTTTTTTTAGGAAAGATTTTTTTTTTTAGAATACAATTCTATATGTAACTTTGATTCATGTACATTTAAGACTTGTTAAAGTACAGAGAAGTAAGTATCAAAGGAGTTTTTATTTGGGGAAGAAATCGTATTGCACATTTTGTGGTACAATGGAGGGTGGTATGAAATGCATACAAGTAAATTTCTATTTCTGTTTTTCAGGTCTACAACTCAAACAAAGACAGTCAGAGCGAAGGGTGTAAGTATGATTAGATCATTTTCTTCAGCTAGTGTTGGGAGGGGCTTTGAGAAGTTGCTACTTGGGGGGTGAACCACCAGGAGGTGCTGTGGGCACATGGGGGGGTCAATCCCATTTCCCTAGTGAAGTTGGAGATGTTTCCTTCCCTCTCACTGCTTTCAGAGGACTACCATATTTAAATAACCCCACTTTATATAGCATTCTCATATAGATTATCTCTCTTAATACTAGAGAATCTTAACGTTATATCACCAATCACCAAGTCAAGTTTATCTACTGATACTTCATACCCCAAGAGCTCTATGTTCTAGGAGAACCAAAGTGTTGCCCAAAGGACTGGAGAGACGATGACTGTTGTGGTTGATGGCTTACTAACTCACTTTGTTTTGTGTGTCTTTGGAGAGGAAAGAGTGGAAATGGGAAATGTAATGTTGTTCCTCTTCATAGAAATGCCCCTGGCCAGCCTCTGTAGAAGATCTATCATATTCCCCTGCTGCAGGAGCTGAGCACTTTGGTAATCATGATTTTCAAGGGCATAGGTAACCTTGTTTACCTTGTAGAGGCCATGAAACAGTAATGAAAATCCTACTGACAAAGTATTTGGGCTGATTATCTCCTTGATGCATAGGAGAGGAAAAAAAAATAAAACAACACGAAGTCCTTCCAGGTTGTTACAAGAATACAGAGGAAATCCTGTCCCCTGGTTTCAGATTTGCTTTGTAAAATCCACTTGGAAAACAAATTTAAAGGTGGACCTAGATGAATTTCAGTAGTGTCTGGAAAATCAGCCAGATAGTGCCTCTTCCAATGGACAAAAGAATGAGCTTAAAAAAAATAGAAGATGGAGAATTTTCTCTCTTTCATTTCCCCCAAAATACAGATTTTTTTTTAGAAAATACAAATGCAAAGTATACAACATAAAATATTCAGTAATCTGGAATTTTGGAATGACTGCTGTTGATAGGTTGAGAAGCCTTCTGAGAGAAAAATGTGATTTTTATTCTTCTTCAAATATTAAATGAGGGAAAAGATTTTAAATATTGAAGGAAATGAAGTATCCTCCCCTTTTACCCCTTCCTCCACTGATTGCAAAAGGATTACTGTAGAATATCTGAGGTAAACTCTACCCACAGTGCAGCAGTGAAGACAGGGACGCTGTTACATAGCTCATAGTAAGGAAAATAATGGAATGCACAGGCTTAGAAATCCACCAGCTCTAGAAACTCAGGAGTCAGGAGCCACTGAGTAATAGTGGATGCTGTTTACAAGATGATAAAGCTCTGGAGTATTGGCAATACTTCCCTCAGTCTTCTGACGATTTGGCTTCCCAGGAAAGATACTATCAAGTTGGACTAGCTTGGACCCACCTACCTTGATTTAAAGTTTCAATAGTACTTCCTGAAGTGAGAACCGTGTGATTTACTGAGAGAAAGTTGGGAAGCTATTAGGAAAATAGGGATAGATACCAAGCAGGCAGAACTAGCAGATGCCTACACCAGACCTCATTGTGGGATATATTGCTTCTATAAGGACCAAAGAGCTGCAAGAGATGTTGCAGTGTGTGTAAATAGAACCAGAAGTGCACTTCAACCTTTTAACCATACAAACCTGCTTCTCTCTGCTTACATGCCAGCATATTGGAGGGTTATTTGGAATTATTCTATTGGTATGCATACCAGTTGGTTCTGCCATTTCTGGAAGCATTTCTGGACTACATTTTAGAAACATTTAAAAAATGTTTTTTTTTTTTGTCCTCAAGTGCAAAGATTTTTGTTCCAAACAAAAAGCTCTCTGAAGCATTTGATAATAATGTTAAAAAGCTGAAGTCAATATAGATATCCAAAGGGAGTCTGATCAGATAAATGTTGGAATTATATACAGCCTTTATAAACAACAAGAGATCTTAATATATTTTTAGAAGTGTGTTATTGATTGAAGTAGGCAATGGAACAGTGAATATAGTGGAACAAATTGTTTAATCTAAATATTTGGTATAAAATATTTGGAAATATGTTTTATCATCACACTATAGGAGGATGTGGGTAGATTATTATGAGTCATCAACTTTGTAATTGAACTATTTCTCTGAAATGCTCCTTCTCTAAAATTAACATGTATTTTTGTGGCAATAGTAAGTGGCAGCTTACTATGTCATAGGAATAGGGATTTATTGCATCCATTCAGGCTAACTGGATAGTTTTAACTAGTTTGGTAGATGAGGAAATGGTCTAGTAAGCTCAGGGAACAAAATTTTGATTAATTTTTGTCTGGCCTCAAAAGCTCTACTGTTAAACATAGAGTATTATTTTACTTCTGTTAATAGAAGAACAATACAAAAGTTTCATTTTGGAAAATCCAGACACTTGTGCAACATTGCACAACTTCTGGCATCCTATTATGTGCAGATGGGGGAGGTGTGCTTGCATGGGGTGTCTCATAGCCCATTAATTGCTAGCTTTTCTATCTTGCCAGCAGGAGAGTAAAGGATGGGGTAAAAAGTATTGGCTGTCTTCCACGAGTAGTTTAAGTAGGACTTGGTTTTTTTTTCATTTTTTAAATAAATTTTTATTGTGAAAATACTGTACGGAGGGGTTACAATCACATGAGCAAGGTAATGAGTACATTTCTTTTTTTTCTTTCTTTCTTTTCCGTTTTTTTCTTTTATTGTGAAAATACCGTACAGAGGGGTTACAATTACATGGGCAAGGTAATTAGTACATTTCTTATCAAGCATTGTTGCCTCCTCCTTTGTTTCCCCTTCCCAACCCTTCCCATTCCTTCCCTTACCCCGCCCCCCTCAAGTTGTAAAGTTCGTTTTACAACATAACGTCTTGTACATTTCATTGTTGCAATGGGTCCACCTGTATCCCTTTTTAAACAATTGGTTTTTCCCTTCCCCTCCACAAATTATACCAATATCAAATACAGTGAAAACAGGAGTTATACCATGGGGGAGGGACATACAAAACAACAAAGAAATATTTTATAAATATGTTAGACACAATAGCAAGAAAGAAAAAAAAAACATTTGAGTCCTTATCTTGGGGTTCATTTCGCTTAACATCAGCTTATCTGACCATTTCTGCTTGTCTCAGACATATACTAGTTATTGCAAATAAGGGAAACCATGGAACCTATGTTTCTTTGGGGCTGGCTTACTTCACTTATCAAGCATTGTTACCTCCTCCTTTGTTTTTCCCCTACCATCCCTTCCTTCCCATCTCCACAACTACATTCCCACTACCCTTCCCTTCTCCTGCCTAAATTGTAAAGTTTGTTTTTTGACATAGTGTCTTGTACATCTCATTGTTGTAATGGTTCAACCTGTATCCCTATTTTAACAATTCATTTTTTCCCTTCTGCTCCCCAAATTATACCAACATCAAATACAGTGAAAAGAGGGTATACTGTAGGGGAGGGAGATACAAAGCAACAAAAAAATCACGTGGTACCTTATAAATACATTAGAAACAATAGCAAGTAAGAAAAAACCACTTGTGTCTTTATCTTGGGGTTCATTTCACTTAACATCATCTTTTTTTTCAAATTCTTTATTGTGATTAAGTGGTTACATAATTTCCCAAATTTCACAGTATTGTGGGATAGTGATGCTTAGTTAAAGTCACAAACACATTATAACTTTCATGGGACAAATTGTCTATCATGGTCTATAACATTTATGAGTTCTATGAGCTTTGCAATGTAATCCAACACATCAGCAGAGCGAAGGTCAAGAATCATATGATTATCTCCATTGATGCAGAAAAGGCTTTTGATAAAATACAACATTTATTCATGTTAAAAGTCCTAGAGAAAATAGGAATAGAAGGAACATTCCTTAAGACAATAAAATCCATATACAACAGACCAATAGTCAATATTATACTTAATGGAAAAAAAACTACAACCAATTCTTCTAAAATCAGGAACAAGGCAAGGATGCCCACTGTCTCCACTCCTTCTCAATATAGTCCTGGAACCCTTAGCCAGGGCAATAAGGCAAGAAAAAGACATTAAAGGGATCTGCATAGGGAAAGAAGAAGTTAAACTATCCATTTTGCAGATGACATGATACTATACCTTCATGATCCCAAAAACTCCATCCCCAAACTCTTAGAAATCATAAATCACTTTGGTAAAGTAGCAGGATACAAAATCAACCCACAAAAATCAGTCACCTTCCTGTATACTGACAATGTACAAGCAGAGAGGGAAATAAAGGTAGCAACCCCATTCACAATAAACTCCTCCAAAATAAAATATTTAAGAATTAACCTAGACAAAGATGTAAAAGAACTATTTAATGAAATCTTAACATCATCTTATCTGACCTTTTCTGCTTGTCTCAGACATATACTAGTTATTGCAAATAAGGGAAACCATAGGACCTGCGTTTCTTTGCACCTGGCTTACTTCACTTAATATTTTTTCCAAGTCTTTTTCCCCCATTTGTAAGGTAGGACTTATTTTTCTAGGGCTTTGTTATCCACTGATTTCTAGGATAGCAAAAGTAAAAAAGTACATGTTTGGTATGTGTGTGTGTGTGTGTGTGTATGTATGTGTGTGTGTGTGTGTGTGTGTACATGTTTTAAAAACATTAGTATCCCTCTTGCACATCATGCAGTTTCTTACCCCACTTCCTCCTGGGAACCAACTCAGGGCCTTGGGTCTGCTTAGCAAGTGTTTTATCGCTGAGTGACACCCTAGCCCCAAAGTTGTCTTGTGGTGCCTATTTATTCTAAGAACTTCCAGTTTTAGCCCATGCCCACCTCTGTGACAGGGTTCACCTGACAGGTAGCACTATTGCTTAGCGTCTTACTAGTTATGCAGCCCTCTTTCAGTTCTTGTCACAATCTGAACTCTTGAAGGTAAGAAGCCGGTATCATAGGAATTTAAGAACAGGGCATTGCTCTTTACCAAATTCCAAATGTCTAGCATCTAAATCCTACATGTCTAGTGTTTTGTTTTCTAGAACATATTTTGGATGAGTTTGAATGCAA